AGCTTATAGATCTCCTGCTTCAACAGTGCCCAAAGATTCTCTATAGGATTCAAATCTGGAGAATATGGAGGCCAAGGCATGATCTCTATATTCATCTCCTCAAGAACCTCCTTAACTATGTGAGCTGTATGAACCCTGACTCCATCATGCATGAATATATCCCCCTCTCTCACAAATTCAGGTAAAAAGGCCCTATCACATCCTTTATCACTCTTGAAGAAAGGGGTAAATAGGTAAATAGTATGATAAAAGCAGCATTCCAACAATAACTGGGTTTGGGTTAGTGATATCTTGGCATCACAGGTGTGGCAGGGGGGGTTTCAAACTTAATACCTGACACTGTAGGTAGTCATATTAGCGCGTAAAAATGAACCATGAAACGGATACTTCAAGTCAGAATGCGGTTACCTAGTTCCGTTACGGCTTGTGTGGGTGGGGCTAAGAAGCCTCCTCTTACCGGCTTCTCGGTGGAAGTGGAAGCGGCACGAGAGGAAATTAATCAACCTAGCCGGTTAAATGGTCGACACTTGCATGAACCAGGTAGCGTTGTTTTGTAGGTGTGGAGACACATGGAGACATGTGTGCTGGGGAAGATTTGACAAGTGGAGTATGGAGGATAAAGTTGACTAGGGGTTAGTGAGCCGTGGAGCCCCGGTGCGGATTGAGCCTCATCGGGAGTTTACTTCAACATGAAGAGCGCGAGGCTACACAACGTCCAGATCCAACATTTTGCATTTTGGCATCCAGAACACTCCCATCCTTCGCGAGGTTGACTCGTGATCTACCACCCTACGGAATGTAAACTACAAACCCGAGAATTTTTGTGCTTCTCAATGAGCAAGGCTGAATAATGGGGGCGGAGGAGTTTGACACATCAATATTTTATGTTTCGCACAATTTTCTAGAACACAGAGGAAGTTTTGAATGGCCGTCTCATATCTCTAATAGGTGGCTTGGCCAGTGAGCTTGTTGCTGAGGTTCATGCACCATCAGGTTTTAAAGACACTTGGGAGGAAGGGGAAGAACTGGCAGCGTATGGGTCGAGTGATTGGTCCTGGGCAATGCAGCCTTCCTCTTGCTTCGAAGCGATAGTGAAAATTTTCAGGAATTTGATTACTTCACCTCATTTCCCAATGAGGTGATTTCCAGTCGGGTTGTTGTTCGCAAATGAGGTGGTGGCATCGATGGAATCCGGTTACGACTGGGTTCAGGATGCAACTGGCTACATTGTTCTCACATAAGAGTTGAAGACCAATTGGTCGTATAGTTACAAAGAAGGCACGCAACAAAACTCCAAACGGCAAGTGGTCGATCAACATAGAATCTATCCGCGGATTTCGGAATTGATATTTTTGGTGGCTCGGCCGTTTGGGATATAGTACGCAAAATAGGACATACCATTCAAAATGCATTGGGGTTGAAGCCTTCCGGGGTATCATCGCATTTTGCTTTAACCTTTTGTCATAAAAAAGCAAAGCCATGCTTAAGGATTCGAGGGTGCCACAGCCTTGCCCCGCCTACCCTAATAGTCTTTGATCGCAATGCATGTCAAAATGATCGGATCTCACATAATATGAATTCCCTCAGGCTGTTAAAAACTCGTAATTTAATTGCCATGGTATAGATGTGGAGTGGCGCAGATGATACCAGCCTGGAGATTTTTACAACTGCGGGATTTTCGACTTGTCGGCTTGTTGCCTCACTTTTAAAAAGAGGGTTTTTGTTTCCTCGTTCTTTGTTCCTCGTGATCTCCAGAAATCCAGGATTCATGCGGTAGTAAATGTGGTGAATATGTTCATATTCCCTTTCACTCATCTTACAAATCGGCTTTCTTGGCTGATGTTTGGAGAGCACTCGGTGAAGTGACCGAGATAGAGACAAATTATCTAGCGCATCGACAAACATTAAGACAGCCACTGCAGTCCCGTTTGGAAGTTGGGCATACCTAAGGTCTCAGAGAGATAATATGGAGGCGTTGGAACTATCAAGTAGGATCGTACGGACAAATCTGATGATCGGCATCAACGCTCGATTCAGCCGAGATGCACATATGCCTGGCGATTTTATTAAGCGGCAAGGATGATGTTAGAAAAACCAACCCAGGTAAACAGGCATATCCTACCTGGTTGCTACTGGGATGAGCGCCATGACACAGCATAGATGCATTACGCTGTAGAGGAAGTTCTCAGCAATCTGAGAAGATATATATGACGCAACTTATAATAAGTATCGATATCCAGGCAGAAAGTTCCAGGAGGCGAATCAAACACTCCGCCATTAAGAAACCAGGATGGAGAGATTTTTGTCAAGCAAAATGAATTTGCCTGTGATTAATATGGAATTTGGAAAGTAGGTATTTGTCAAGATGAGTGAACATTTTGTACGGAGGAGGCATGGTGGAAAAGCGGTGTAGGGAGAGGACATAACTGGTATTGTCATCCTCGACTTACCATTCTCATGGTCAGGGTCAGTCGTGCAACAAATTGGGTTCCAAGGTTCTATTCCGGATTGTGAAGAGAGACAGAGGAAGGAGTAATAGACGTTCGTGAGGCTCAAGTATAGTTAGCGATTACTAATGCGGCTTCCGTAACTAATTAGTTAACTAGCTGTTGGAGGTCCTACACAAAGCCTTACCCTACGTGACCCACACACAACACACCTAGCTGCTATCAACCCCTCTTACAATACCAACCAGCATATGCTCTTCTTTAGCTAACAACCTCGCTAGTATCCTCTGGCGATCTTCTGCACATCTTCATTACTTTGCCTATTACGCTGAATATCTCTACCTATAATGGCCGATGACGAGATTCAGAGGTTGCGCCAGCTTTTGGAGGACAAAAAACGACGTCGGCAGGAAGCGGAGCAGGCTCAACTGGAAGCGAAGCAGGCTCAACTGGAAGCGGAGCAGGCTCAACGGGCATTAGAAGAACAGATACGGCCCTTAATGCTCTTTGAATATCTTGATGCCTGCCACACTTATCTCTTTTCGGGTCTTGTCCCTGGCAAACCCGGCCATTCAACCAAAGGGAATGCCGACAATGCTGATGGCAAACTTCGTCCTCATCGCATCCGCGAATGGCTTTCGTTTGCAGATTCGCAGACGAAAATATGGTACCAGTTGCTGAGTGAAGAGAATGAAGATTTCATTATGCAGCGCAAATTTGACTCCTTACATGCAATTATCGCTATGGGAATGAAGATAAGAAAAAACATTCACTCAGAAATCCACCTTCGCTATTTTCATCGGGATGCCGTCACAACGCCAGTAGCGTCCGTAATAGAGACCTTCTTTGAGAATGAGCAACTCCGACAGTTATTCGGGCTTCAGGGACAAATTACATTTTAAAATCACGCAAATACACTTTCCACCACTCCAACTTCCTCCCGACCTCTGGCAGATGAGTTTTGTATTTACAATAAAGGTGAGAATGTCAAAGTTCCGGTCTTTATTGGTGAACTCAAGCCACCGCACAAGCTCCCACTGGAAATTATTCAAAAGGGACTTAATGAATGGAGCTTGCCGAGGTTGTCAAGCGTGGTGATGATGAGACAGAGGAGATTCGGGCATCGGTCGGTTGGTCCGCTGCAGTTCATC